GCGTCAAGTCAAGGCTAGTGACGTCATTTATGATACAATATTTGCTTCTAATAAATCGGCAGTATTGCTATCAAATGTTGTGATTTTACAAGTTTTTATAAATAATTGATAAAATAAATGAATGCAAGTTGTTATTTACGCATCATCATGTGGTTAAATAGATTTTTGTCGCTTATTAAAAATTTAATGACGTCAAAATGAAACTTCCCATATGGTGCATCACAGATGTGAACTCAGGCCCCGCCGTCACCAAAATTCCTCTACCTCAACCTCAATACTCAGCCTCAAATTCTTGAGGTTCACTCAAGTGAGGAAATTCCTCAAACCACCGTCACCAAACCCTCTGAGGGTTTCCTCAGTTGAGGTGTATAAAAATGTACTCAACTCAGTTGAGGCGAGACATGAAACAATTCGTGCATTTTCGCGGATTTTTTTAACGCTATTGTTTACGCTATAAAATTTGTCGTCTGATGTAGAAAATATGGCAGAAATTGACATTGCAGCCTTACTGACAAAAAACACGTTAGATTCGTTAAAGGTACTGATGAGGTTATAACTGCACAAAAGAAAAAAAAGGGGAGCTAATTGGTCGGCCGAAGAAGAAATTTATTTGATAGAGGAAGTGTTAAAATATGAAGATCAACTTTTTGGAAAAATGAAGGGTTCGGGTGTGAGAGAAAAACATGGGCGGGTTAAAGATGAAACATGGCGGGGTATTGCCGACACATTGAACGGGTAAGTACATACCTTCAACCGTACCAGACGACTCCGCATTATCTCCCCATTGTTGTAACGTTAATTCGTACCATGTTTGTTTCAATCCGATTATTATTCTTTGTTCTTCTTAAAAAATATTAATAAATTAAGAATTTAATATTATATCTAAAAAGTACGCATGTGAGTAATTTCTCTTCAATTTGTGAAAAGATAGGCCTATTTGACAAAATACTATACATTGATTTGACGCCTTGCTGTTTGTATTCGATGTAGGTAGTTTAAAAATGAAAGAACGGCAGAGACGATTTCAAAGAAATACGATAACATCAAGCAGCGGGGTATGTACTTCGTTCAGAAATATACATGTACGCATGTATGAAAATCAAAATTCATAAACTTTGCAATAAATTTATTCATGTGCATCATTCCTTTGAACTAATATGTACGTATTCCCACCCCATGAGAGAGAGAGAGAGAGATTTTACTCGTCAGTGCAATCTTTTTTTTTTTTTGAAACGAATTGTTTTCTTTTGTGTGTATGTCTAGCTAAAGACAAAATAGATGCCCTTAAACGCCCGAAAACTGGAGGAGGCCCAGCTAAAGCACCCCTTACAGCCGCAGAGGAGTGTCTCCTTCAAGCTTTTGACGGTCGCCCTAACATTGTAGGACTCAACGGAGGCATTGATTCTGATGGTACGTATATGTATACGAACCGTAAGTAAGCACGCTTTTGATAGACTGTTGCAAGAGCTAGGCTCTGTTTTTTGCTCTTTCTTCAACAGCTGGTCAGTTGAAGTTATTACTCCAGGCCCTTGAAACACAGTCCCGACCCATTTTTTCTGAGTATTGTCTGTTTTGTTTTACTGTTTTAATATGTAAATTTTCATATAGATGCTATAGATGCCCCTTCTTTGCTGCTGTCAGGTCGAAGCTGGAAAATGTCAACATTTGATAAAAATGTACGAAAAAGTTAGACCACCCCCCCCCCCCCCCCCCCCAGCGAAATAGGATTTTAATTTGAGTTTAGACAGTTTACTTTTTTAATTTGCTTGTCACAATTTTTAAAGGTTGCCTATCTTTAAAACCGTTGCTCAATTCAGAGAGAAATACATGTATATCGTAATTCCACCAATCTTACAGAGCCCGCACCTTCCAGTACCTCGCTACCCGTGCCTGATCATGCTGATACGATAATGGAAGTCCTCACTGGACCTTCAGCTACGTGTAGCCTTGTAGAGCCTTGTGGAGACGGCAGCCGCTCACACAACATATGTATGTTTTCCCAGTATTTTGTTTCCTTGTGATTGCTCAAATATAGTTAGAAATTGTTATACATGTATAATTATAGTAATTTTTATTTTTAGTGAAAAGTTCAAATGGACGAAAGAACAAGAAGAATAGCAGGCATGATATTATAGAGGAAGCAGAGAGATGTAATCTGGAGTTGGAAAACCAGGTGTTAAAGTCCACGGCGAAAAAGTTGAAGTTAGAGAGAAAGAAGTTGAAAAGTGAAATTAAGTATATACATATGCAGAAGGAGTATTTATCGTTGAAGATAAGCAAGGAATTTCCTGGTCATAATATAACACTTTCACAGCCATCACCATCATCATCCGATTCAGAATGATAAGAATATCAAAAAATCAGTAGCCCTTCTTACAAAACCTGTTACTAACTCTCACTAGTTATGGAACCTATACATATTTCAATCACAGCAAATTGTTCACTGTTCTTTCGTTATACATTGAATATAACTTTAGTTATAGTAATAAAAAAAAATTAAAAAATAATGAATTTAAAAAAATAAATAAAACGAGACGGATTACGGGAAGAAAACTAGTTTTTATTTATGCTTTTACTTCTGCTGGTTTGCTGGTATCCTTTAATTCTGAAATGAAATAAATTTTCATTACCAATTAGTGTCAATGGTTATGATATTTTTGCATGTCATTTTTAAAGAGCACATTAATAAAAATTATCATCTGATAATATTGCGGATGTTTACTTGTTTCCTTGTCTATCCAAAATATGTCTGAGCAATATAGTCACGCATGTGACTGCCCTCTGTCCCATTACAAGAAACGTGGTGGTCCGTGGGATTGTAGTGAATCACGTCCTGTCTGTCCATCGCAATATCTCCACGCTCTATCCCGATATTGTGCAAAACCACGCATGCAACAATGTAGGCCGCTGCTTGGTCTGGGCATGTTCTGAAAGTGTACATATAACAAAGTGAAAGCATGATATAAGAAGTTAAAATTCTTGACGCAGTTTAAACAAAATTCATTACCTAAGTGTTCCCTGAAGACAGGAAAACGCCTTTTAAGGATGCCGAAACTCTGCTCGACTAGCACCCGTGTTCTACATAGGGATGCATTGAACCTTTGCTGGGCCTCTGTAGTTGGGCTGAGATATGGAGTCATCAGAAACCTGCGACATGGATACCCTGAGTCTCCTAGAAGGAGGCCTTTGTGCTCATCTGAAGTTAAAAAAGGGAATGATTATATACACATTGTACATGAATAGTTATGTATATTTTGTCTTGAGATAGCTACAAACACGTACATGTAGCACCAAGGGGGCCAGCCCCCCCCCCTCCCACTTTTTTCCAAACATAATTTTTACTATTGAAAATGTTCATTGAAAGACCGGTTACCCCCCCCCCCCCTTTTTTGTTGCAGTAATGTCAAATAAGGGAAATAATGCAGTAATGTATGAGAAAAATTTGGCACTGAAATAAGTTGGTACTGAAAGAAGATGGAACCCCCCCCCCCCCCCCACACACACACACACACGCGAAATAAGAAAATCCACCACCACCCCCTTTTTTTGCTTCTCAAGTTTTTTTTTTTTTCAGGTAAGTTGAATTATTTTTCTCTGGCTGCCCCCACCCCCTTTCCAAAATCGATGCTACGTTCCTGAGCTATATAAAGATTGTAAAAGTGACAGTTGGAAATATACCCCTTTCAAATTGTCTGCATAGTGCTGATTCTCTCCAGATCCTACTGTCCTGCACACTGCCAGGCCAATTGGCACAAACGCTGGTAATACGAAATTTTGCATCACACACCATCTATTTAATAAAATTACACGTGTTACTTAAAGTATTGAGGATAAAGGATACAAATTTGAAATCGGAATTTAATACGATTACCTGCACATTCAAAGAATGAAATCCCTTCCGATTCACGAAGTCTGATTCGTTTTCTGAAGGGCCTTGTATCTTCACAAACGTCCCATCTACACACCCCAAGACATTTGGGAACCCTAGATTGAAAATTTCTGACCATGCGTATTTGGATACTTCAGATTTAAAAAAAAGTAAATATCATCGATGTATTTATCAATTATTTAGCATGATCAATATTAATTTTGAAAGCACACAGACTTTATTTAATTACAGTTTTAGCATAAGGTGTGCTTTTACATGTACATGTATAGGAAGTTTGAAAGTTAAAAATATTATTTGATTTTTAGAATATAACACCCCAATCTACTACATGTAGTGCATTAATAAATAGAATTTTGAGTCTTTTTATAGAATAAAATAAGTTATGATGAAATAAAAGCAGCGTACTTTGTTACATCTGCTTACATGTATCTAATTACGTGTCGGTCACAGAACTTATGTTTATTGTTTTTTTTTTAAATCGGTTAAAATTTTCTGATATTGATGGCAATATTAATTGATTAATAATAATTTCGTTAAGTTTATGAAGAATGATTTATAAAAATATTAATGTCAAGCAATTTTTTATGAAATTGTTATAAAAAGGAGGATCCAACCCTGCCCTTCTCAAATCGTTCTTCTTCGCCTTATTTTTTTTAAAGGGGGGGGGGGGGTTAAGGGTAACAGATAACAAAACAGTACCTGTATATGCCTTTATATGCCCAAAATAATCAACAATCTAAATCCACTATTGAGCTTTGAACAGTTGAATACTTTGAAATATTTGGTGTTAAATCCGTTTGTCACTACATGGATGACAATATTAGGAATTTCTCACAAATAATAATAAATAAATACATTCGCTTACAGACGTTACTGATATTGCATTTCTTTTGAATGAGTTTGTTTCGTTATATTTTTTTTGTACATGCTCACAATGCTTTTTGCAATAAAACATTAGATTTCATTACGATAAAACAGATTAAAAAACGTTCTATTTCAACGTTTAAGTCGACTTCTCAATGTACGATTGCCCAAGCATAGGATAGTCCAAGAATTATTCCTCTTGTACATATTCTGAAAATGAAAGTAAGAAAGAGCAGACGCTGAGTGACTAGTTACCTGCGATCTTCAAAAATTCCTGTTTTGTTTGTCTGGCTGTTTGGTCCCTCGGAAACATGATAAAGTTTTGCCGAATGTCGTTGATGGCCTGGGTCACAGAACGGCAACATCTACTGACTGTGCACTCGGAAACATTTACACTGTCCTCGATCAATTTATGAAAAGCACCCGTAGCCAGAAAACGCAAACAGACCAACAGCTGCAACAGTGGAGGTAAGGCTTGATTTTTTGTGGTGTTTATTAGTTTGTGTTCAATCAGAGTCATCAAATAGACGATTGTAGGCCGCCGAAATCGAAATCGTTCGTAAAGTTCGTCGTCTGTGTACACTTCCATAGGATTTAGACGATCTTTTACTACCCTACGTTCGGGTCTTTCTCTCCTCAGCAAAAATCTTCTATATTTTCGTCGTCTTCTACGCCTGTACGCCATTTTAATTTCCTTGAGTAAGCTTTTAAGGTTGCTATAGAGTTATACTTAAAAATTAGAGTATTTACTCAAAATTCTGTTGAGGAAAACTCAATTTTTTTGTGGTGACGGTGACTTGAGGGTGAGGCTATGAATTTGAGGGAAAACCTCAGAGTTGAGGCTGAGTATTGAGTTGAGGGATGTTGGTGACGGCGGGGCCAGGCCTTCCTTAACGTAGCTGAGTAATCATTAATATGCAATAGAACAACTACAACATATGTGACAGTATGCATTCGTTAAACTTTGTCAAAAAGTGGGGTCGTCAATGGAAGTTGGAGCCAGGAGAGATAAAATGGAGATCAGAGAGATGGTAGAGAATCGATCGAGAACTGATGATGACATCGCTGTTATGCAAAGTAACAGAAAGGGGTTAGACATGAAGGATCAAATATGGACGCTATGCTGTGGCCAAAAAATAACCATGTAACCTGGAATCCATCCAGCCTCTCTGTTATATCATGCATTAAACACAAAATGGAGCATTCCCTTCTCTCCCAGAATAAAACACTGAACCACTGTTAATTGTTAACTTAGGGCTTGCTTATATATATATTTAAATAGAATAATTAGCAGTAGATAAGATGATGATGAAAACTTATTGTATTCCTATCACATGAAAACAATAGTTTTCTGGGCGATTCATCAAAAATATAATTCATGACTGGTGTCCATAAAATCTTCTGGGGTGTTTATGGATCTGTATTAAATTCATCCTAAAATGAGTGTATGAGGGTGTCTGTCGCAACTTTTGCTTTCCCAGCAACAGCGTGTTTCTGGGTAATATTTATGTTGAGGCACAAAATGTTTTATTTATTTGACTTTACGAGTTGTTTAGGAAGAGTATATGTTGATTATATAATAAGAAGGGGATGCCACTAAATTTGTAGTGATTGGACATAAACAAGGAGAACCTGAACCAAATGAATGGGGATTAGTTATCATATGAAATAAAAAATATTGTACGAGGGTAGTTGAGAAAGTTCGCGGACTTCTGTCTTAACTTTTTTACTTGACGTCATATTATATCTAAATTTGGTAGATATGTTTCCAAAATATATTCGAATATTGTGTAATAAAAATTTTAAAATATGACCATGTATTAGATATTCAGGATTAAATAATGCGAAATTGGATCGAGGAGCAGGTAAAACTTTACTTATTTCCAAACAATACATTAAATAAAGAAAAAAAGGTCTGTAGTTATATTTCTATGAAATGGTGCAAAAACAAACAAATCCAAGACGTTTCAAATTACTAATTGCGCTATAGTTTTATATTCTAAATTATATTAGTGAAGGCAATCTTTAAAAAAATGTTTGGTTGCCCTCTCCCGACCTACTGGCTAAAAATGGCCCGACTCCAAGCTTTTTTTAACCTCCAGGAAGCAATTATTTTTCTTTTTACCCATTCCGGCAAATCGATTTTGAAAATTACTGGTAAGCATTGATTTTGAATTGTTTGCTTTATTGAGAAGAAATCAATTTCAGAAGATACGTAGTCCTCATGGAAAAAAAAAGATGACGATAGAATTTTTCGTGTACATCGGAAACTTCAAGAATAAACGCTAAAATGCTGGTGGAAGCATGAAATATGTCAGAAGCGAACTGTGCATGCGTGATTTAAGGACACAGGCGGTATTTGAATGATAGAGACTGTGTATCAGATGTGGAGGAAACGGATTATCTGTAAAAAGTTGATCTTAAACAAACGATTTAGTAGCGTCATGGAAAGAGATAGGCACTTCACATTTACTGATCTTGTGAAAGCATAGTTGCGATGTAAAAATATTAAAACATTGACAAATTAAATTATGCCACTAGGATAATTGTTAGAAAAATAGATTTCAAGTGATAGAGAAACATCTGTTATGAGTTGGTATTAGATCATACTGTGTGAAATGTATAGGGAAATATTTTGGATTACCTCATGGCGCTATGTTTTTGACGTTACAATGTTCTTAAGTGTGTTTCGTCGTTACAAAACATATTGATTTTAAAACTAAGTAACATGTTTTCTATATCACTTGGAATGAAATTTCACAAATCAAAATAAGACTTTTTTTCATATGATTATAAGCTCATTTTAAATTTCTAGGAAATAGTATAACGAAGATTAACATGGTGTTCGAACTTTTCGATCATTCCTAGTAAGTGCTGATTTTAATGATTCAAACTTTTCCTGCTAGATGTCCATGTTCAAAGATGAATTTTCAATATATGATCCAATAGACTCTATCCAGGGACATGAATTCTAGTCCAAGAGGCATGAAGCTTACAATCGAAAACAAAGTTTTAATGTACCTACTCATTGTGTTCAGGGAAACAGTTTGTTTGCTAGCTCTCCATGAGAAAAGACGAAGATTCTTTAGGATGTGTATTTGTAACATTTGTCCAATTTAGCCCCATCCTAAGCCCTGAACAATCGACACGAAAGTCAGGAATTATATAGTTTTAGCAAAAGGTTAACCTACTGTAATCATACCAACATCATGTCAGATAAAACTTCTGAGAAAATATGCCTTTTAAAATTGGATAAAATTATTCTTAATATATTTCCAACATATCTTTTTGGGATCTGAACCATGAACCCACGGACTTTGGTAGAAGGTTATTCTAATCATGCTAAACATTTTCCGGATGCCCCCGAGAAAAAATAAGTATTCTTATCATCGGGATTCAACGATACTCTAGAGATTTGACAATGGACAGATGGACATATTTGCATGCAAGAGTTGAAGATAACGAACAGTGATCGATCTAAAAAAAAATATTAACAATACAAATCTGTGAAGAAGGCATATAACATGGACTACTGGAAATACCAGGTGTTTGATTGTAAAATCGAGTAGAGGACCAAGTGCTTAATATAATTAAGCGAAAAAATTTTCTAATAGATGTCCATGAGAAAAGATTAATATATAATTTATACAGTTTAAATGACCAATTTAGCTTCATCTTCTGCCTGGACTATGGGCTTTGTCTTCATAAATTTGATATTTTGGGTGAAAGATTGAGTATTCAATGGATTCATGAAAATTATATGCCTGTTTGATGTCCATGAAAAATACAAAGGATTTTCAAATGTATAATCATTCTAATTGTATAAAAAACACACCCCACAATTAGAACGAATGCTTTATGTGATTTTAGCGGTTTATATCTTATTATGTGTACATGCAGGCTCATTTCATGCCAATTTTGGTGAAATTTCATTTAAATTTTTAATCTAAATGATTATGTAACTTTCTTGTAACAATCCATAAGTCCCTGTATTAAATGTTTTAAAAGAAGCATTGGTTACCTAAACACATTCGCTAAGTATTATTTTACAAATTCCAATTTACGTAAATTTAATTTACTTTGTCAAAGCATACGGAGTTTTAAAGCACAATAATGACAGCTTGTATTAAACCTGGTTAATATCTTAAATAATAAATTTGTGTGACGGAATGATATCTATGTTATATCATTACATAAGAAAAATTAAATGACACAAGAGGAATGTCTAAAAAAAATATGAGGAGATCTTTCGACACTAAATGTAGTACCTTAAACTTTTCATCTCTTAGATGTGACAAGGTTTCTGTTAGACATTCCCATACGTAAGTGTTCATGTTCATGCCATTCAGTAAAATGTTCATGATTGTTTGAACACAAATGATAAAAGTGAAGTACATGTAACACTGATAAATTTTCAGCAAAAGCAAATAAACATCTTGAAATCGTACAAAAAGAATGTTATTCGAGAATTCAGTTTTGGCTGTATTAACAATTATGTTAAGATCGCTGATATTTAATATTGCTGACAATTGCTTCCGCATTAGAGGGAACGTTCTCTTTCTTGGCATCATATAATCCATAAAATTACTTCTCGCTCAAAGCTAAGGACAAATTGCTAATTAGCGTCTTGCTAAAAATTCCTTTTATATGGTAATATTAATTTATTTAAGTAAAATACATATTCCAAATTTCTCTTTATCATTTATAGTATGGTGGACATAGAGAATGTGTCAGCTTATGTGTTCCTCAGACTGTGTGGTAAATTCGGAACGTCAAGGGAAGTTGGAGCCAGGAGAGATATGGTGGACCTCACAAATGTATTTGAAAATCAAACAAGACAACATGGTGACAACGTTATCATGATCAGTGGAAGTCGCAGAGAATGATTCAGACTTGATGAATCGGATATAGACGTTATGTACTGGCCAGATAATTACCGAGTGATCTGGGAAGTGCATTAGTCTCAGTGTTATAACATACAGAGAAAAGAACTGATTCTCTGCGACTGTACCGAAATCCCACCAGGATTCACCTTGTTATATTTACTCTCACCAAGATTGTACATTGAAATCAAGGATGCTTGTGTTAGAATGAAAAAACAGACATTATATATCTAGTTCTAAACACAGAGAGATGATGTGTTCCACAGCGTCACAGCGCTCCACTCTACATGGTCCCTGTGTGACGAGATTTCATGGAATATTTGGAATTGATCATGCCCATTGTTTCGCATCGGAAATTTGGCCTCCATCTGCAACCTCATGGATTGACAGATGTCACCCATGGCCCCCGTCCCACATTGTTGATGACATAGTGAAAAGTGGATGTCATTTTGTGGCAATTGGACATAAACTAGGAAGACATGACACCAATGAATGGAGAATTTCTTTCTCTTTGGCAGAACAAAAACTTGTGTATGCAATGAACCATTGCCAGTTCTTAACTTACGGCTTGCTTAAATTGTTTTTAAAAAGAATAATTAACAATGGATTAGGTGACGATGATGAATTACTATGTTCCTATCACATGAAAACGGCAGTTTTCTGGGCGATTCAACAAAGTATGATACCTCATTGGTGTCCACATACTCTCCTTTACAGTTCCTGGGTTTGTTTTAAACTCATCCTTAAATGGGTGTATGAGGGGGTGTGTCCTAACTTTTTCATTCCAAGTAACAACATGTTTCTGAGTAATATTTATGGTGAAGCCCAAAACCTTTTATTTATTAGACTGTATGAGCTGTATAAGATGGGTATAAAACCCATGATGGATACGCTCTCCATTATGTCCTGTACTGAATGTTTATATTACCTTCGAAATTCAAGTCTTTTCCTTTGTGGGGATGAAGATTTCCAGTCTTCCGAGGCTGTTTTTGATATCATTCTATGTAAAGAATTAAAGGAAAATGACTCACTACCCGCCTTAAACGTACAAGGCTGTTTGATATATTTACAAACGATAGAGCAGATGATAGATTCATCCGTGACAAAGTATCACGTTTTTACAACCTCTGTCTTGCAGAATCTAGCTTTTGTATTACATCTGAATACTTATACACAAAAAACAAACTTAAGTACAGAGCTGACAAAAAGTCCTGTCACATTCTGAAATTAGCAGCTAAGTTTGGTTGTACTTCAGACATGCTGTATATAGCCATGTATTATTACGAGACATATAGATACATGGAGGCATTATTCCTTATAGAAGTGATAAAGGTCAAGCTATCGCAGCCATACGTGATGCACAATTTTAATGTCGATGAGGAGATGTACACGAAGGTTGTAGGGGGTCAGTCCTGGTCTAGAAAAATGAGTCAAGCTGTAGCATGGAATATCAAACCAAACAATAGAATTCCTTACATCAGTGAATTAATACCAGAACAACAGTGTAGTAAACACAACGATGTGCCTATTTTATATGTTCCACCCTTCGTTATGTTATACATTCTAGAGGTTTTCTGCTACATATATGTAGACACAATCAGAGCAAAAACAGCTTTAGATAATTTAAGGGCCTTAGTTCACTTTGATCAGGGACAGCATATACCTGCACACACCAAAAACATAGCCTGGTATATATTGGGGATTTGTCAACAGATGACAGGGAATTTCCAGGATGCTCTATACTCATACCAACAATCTCTCAGAGAAGATCAACTCCACAGTATACAAACTGCAACAAAAATGAGAATACACGAAATCCATCATCGGTATCACTTTACTAGTTGATAAATGTCGGACATTTGTGGCTGAGAGTCACCTCATAGATTTTTTAATCGTGTATTTTCCCTTATTTTGAATTGTACAAGAAATTCAATAGATATAGTTAATAACCCATGCATTTTAATGATTTACATTTTGTTTCAAAATATTTATCATTTTATGCAGTTATATGAGTGTGGTTTTGCTGCAATTAGACTACATAGGGATATGTCTACTGAATGAAATGCTAACACAATAAATAAATGTTTTTAATTGTTTTCTTTATGGCATGATTATGAATTGAGAAGTAGTATTCGGACATTAACTTATAAGACCTAGATAATTCCGATACCGTTCGTCAAAATCAAGAAAATCAATAAAGAATATAATGTACTGTATTTTAATTCATTTCATACATGAGATGGATACTATCCAAAAGATAAATATATCTTTATACTTAATTCACGGGTATGCTTTATCAAGAGCACTTCCGGTTTTGACTCAGTCCCTCGCTTAAGGATGTAAATTCATCGAATTTCCTGCGTTATACAAGAAATTATAATGAGTCAAAAAGAAAAACAACATTCATAATAACTCGAATAAATGTCAATTTTATTAATTATCTTACTGGCTGAGTGCTGCAATGACGGATGCCCCCCCCCCCCCCAATACCTCAATCGTTTCGTAGGTAACGGTAGGCTTAGCATGTAAGTTTATGATGCAAGATTCCTTTGACCATGTAGGAAAGTATAGCCTTTTAAATCATGCTTTTTTACGCTATACTATAAGAATTTTTAATATTTGCTGGAAGAGACTAATAAACAAAAGGAAGCTAGTTACTACAAAAGAAAAGAGGGGGAGATAATTAATGTTCTATTTGGCATGATTGCACCTTACAAATATTTAAAGCTTTTACAATTCTGTTTACATCTAGCAATGTTTATGCGATAATAATTTGAATGCAGAGTAAACAGGAAAACTTCAATGGAAAACACGCAGATGACTTGGTAATGATTTGTGAGAATATCATTCAATTCAATTATATCTACATGTATGCAAGTAAAAGTTAATGTTATACCTATGGTGTAACCAAGATGGAAGCATAAAATTATTTTAATTTTATTTAATATGCAATATCCTGGACTGTGTCAATAAAGTGAAAATCCTATCGTTCTGTGAAATCTATCAATTGTTTTGGGAAATTAATATTAATCTGCACAAAAGTGTTTTTATTATTTTGAGGTATAGTGTCTTTGAAACTAGCACGGCTTTATGGTTCGGCTGTTTTTTTTAATTAAATTTTGATAGCTGAAAATCCTAAAAAAAAGTATTACTGTTTTTGTAAATATGGATTATCTTCCGATTTAGGCTAAAAAAAAAGACATCTTACTGCACATGGAAATATTCTAATTAAGTATGAAAAGTAAAATAGATGATTGGTACTTGAATGAGAAATAAACATAACTCCGATTTGTTTTCTGATTGTCTGTTATATTTCATCTTAAATACTACATTTTTTGTCTATGTTTAGAGGATATTGTCAGCCATATTTTACCGAAAACAATTTTACTGTTGCCGTGAAAACCACGCAGTACAGTTAAGGTGCGCAATGGAAATCACGGCAATTTTTGTGATTGAAAATATATTTTTAATCAGGATGGCGATTCTTTTCAGTACTTTATTGATATCCGACAAATGTAATTATGGTTAATAACTACATTTTGAGGACGATAAGATTTTATATTTAGACTTGTCACGTGATGCGGCAGTCACGTGATATAGCACATATATTTGCAGAATTGAGGTCACCTATAAATTTCACTAGTGCAAGGGCATAACCAAGTTAAAATTCTAAATTTAGAGTATAAATATTTTCAACACGCATCGTCGTTTCTGAAAAGTGCTGCGATCCTCTATAGATTCTGCTATTTCATTGTTAAAATCAAATTTATAAGACTGCATTCTGTATTTTTTGCTGGTCAACAGCATTAAATATAGATATAATTAATTCATTTTCTAAATTTCATCAGGATCGCAGCACTTTTCAGATACCTTAATACTTCTAGAGATTATATGTAAAAGCTTACTGTGATCCATTGAGTGTATGCCCTTGCACTAGATCGATTTATTAAGACCCTTACATTACCCTCCGATGTACTTGCATACAAATGTACGGCAGTATCAATTAAATAGGAAATATACGGAATATATATGAATAAAATCATAAAGAAGACATTGCATCCAAGTTAATGGCCTCTTAAATATCTTTAAATAATATTTTATTTAATTATAGAATGCATTTTTTGTTCTGAAAATATTTCTTGATCCGCCACTCACTGCATACAAAATGCGTCAGGTTTTACGAAAATGACGTCACATCGACAAGTGCATCGTGATCAGTGACTTGTTTATATCTTGCTATGTGGAATTTAACTAAAGACAAAACAGCAGGTTATAGTAAGTTTAGATGTAGTTTGATGGTTTCCTATAGTTTAAAATAAAAAAATATTTCATTTTGTAGTATTTTCAAGAATTGTTGGTTTTGTATGATGTCATTGTTAACATTTCCAGTACAAATTAGGCTCCGCCTCCTTTTGGTAGCCTTAACTGTGCTGCGCAGACACTGAATTGATGAAAATATATACGTCATAGTGATGTGAGATAACGCATTCCATGCAAGCACTTGCCTGTTTCAATGCAAGTTTGAAATTGATCATATTATCATGATTTTGATCATGATCGTTTGATTTATGGCATAAAAGTAATTAAATTCAGGTCAAAATCGATTCTTATCTTAAGAAAATCAATATAAAATCTACTGACATATGTAAGTTCTGTGCTCAGAAAATTGAAACTATACTTCATGTATTTGTCAGTTGTGACACATTATATCTTTATGGAGGAACCTGTGTTTACATATATACAGAGCAATTTCAAAAAGAGTTGGATTCAATGTTAAAAATATAACTTAGGTTAAAACCCACTTACTAGTGACAACAGAATTGAAAACCTTATGATACTATATACAAAACAGTATATTTTTTTCATGTTTATAACAACCAAAAATACCTACATTTTCTGGTTTGTTAAGCTATCTGAAAATGAAAACAATATTGAAAGATGTATATCTATTAACACCTCAAAACTGTTTTATTTTGAAGAACAATGAATTTTTTGGAAAAATATTCTTGAACAAATGTAAGATAATGTGAACAGGTTTTTGTTATTTAATTTATCTGATAGAATCAATTGATGAACACCTGATTATTATGAAGCAACCTCCATATCAATTTAAAATGTAAATGGATGTATACATGGGTGTGTGGGTGTAATTTTGCTGTCAAATTAACTTGATTTTTGTAAGTAATACAATGTATATTTTTTTTTAAATTCCTTTTTGTTCTCAATAGATATGTAGCATAAGATTAAAGGAAGTGTTTAAAAAAAGTGAAAAAAAGACATAAAACAGAATGATCAAAAGGAGATGGTATATGCATGAATTTGAGAGGAAGTGGGTTAAAGACAAAAAATGTCCATGTATATAAAAAGGTATTTATTTCCATTTAAAATGCACCATTTTTTCAAGTCAATTACCAAAAAAAAAAAAAAAAAAAAAAAAAAAAAAAAGAAAAGGTTTTTTTTTTTCTTTTCGATTGTAATAATTTCGTGTTCCTGTACTCGTACATGTAGATCCCATGTTCCATGTACACATTTTTCTCATTTTTGTTCAATATTTGTTCAGATTTTTATTTACATTATTTAAATATGTATTAGAAACGTGCATAGGAAAACTATATCATTTTATAAACTTGGCATTTAAACTTTTATGACATACAGTACAATCATTTCTCTGTATTCTCTGTATGTGCACTATTGGTATCCCACAGTTACCAAGATGCTTGTTAAAAGAAAATACTACGAAAATTATGGCATTCTATTTTTGTTCTATTTTATTTTCAATTCATCGAAACGTACGCAAACACTAACAAACACAGTAACTGTTATATTAATCGTTAATTTATATACATCTTCCAAAGCGGGGAAATAAATCAAAAAGTTTTTAAAAACTTAGTTTCCTGGATGTTAAGATACCCTTTTGCGAAACAGCAAACAATGCTCTCTTTTATTCTTTCAATAAGACACACATGGATGGGGCATAAGTGTGACGTCGTCTATTGCAATGTCACTCAGATCGGAGCTCCCTCTTGTTGCCTCAATGACAATCTTAAACAACAAAAGTTTGAGAATTTAAATCCAAAGGTTGATATAATAGTCTACTATGAAACATATTTGAATCCATAGACGTCATCCGATTATACTTCTATAACGTATTGTAGAGATGATAAATAACAAAACTTACATGAGTTTCCGGTTCCAATTGAATATTCACGCTAATTATATACCATCCGTTTCCTAGATCTCTACCTATGGAGACAATCTGTTCACTGATGATATTATATTTGGTTGTGTAGACTGAAAATCTCCCCATATCACGCCCATTCATATTGAGATAAAACAGCAAGCAGTATGTGTTGTCTTATAAAAAAAAAACGAAAAAAACAAAACAGATCCATTTTTCTAAGTTGCAAATGACTTTTACAAGAAAACAGGAAAATACGAGATATTTGTTTTGTTTTAAGAAAAATATGTATGAATTTCTCATAGATTACTCCTATCAAATACAAATTTTAATAAATAGACATTCATTATTTGCATATTTTCATCGTTCTTTGTCAAAAATAATCTGACAAAACTTTTAGCTACACGCGGAAAGAAATTAATTGAAGTTCAAGTCAAGAAAAAAAAATCTTTTCAAACGCATGTGATTCCCTTCTTAGCTTAACTAGTATTCCATTCATAATGCAGATACGTACTTTTAAACAGTATTCCTTTGTCAGTAAAACCATAGCGATCTCCCTCTGTGCGATTTGTTGCCTCAAAATAAAAATAAAACTGACCCTCAAAGGCAGCAGATGGACCCGTCCCTTTGGAAGGTGTTTGTCCCTGAAAGAAACAAAAATCATGAGTTTTTGCTTGATATGATCCAATCCTACCTGACAATGAAACTAAGGCGCATTTCAGATATAAAATGGCGATACAGTAATTTTCCCTAGACATGCTCAGGGTGGGTTCCTTACATTCTAAGAAAAACATCTCAGACACAGTAATCTTTTCTAAACAAAAGAAAAAAAAACACATAATCCGAACAGGGGAATGGGGATGGGATTAAGCACTTCATCATTTTTCATTACATTTTGTGTACATACTAACTAATCAAACTAATTTTAAATTAAATCATTTCAAATTAAATGTAAAGATGATCTGAACTTCTTTTTTTTTTAAAACAACAATCCATAATTTTCTATATCAAAACTTTGGATAAAGCTACGATTATCTAGACCCATTATTCGAATATAGCTCTACATGTTCTTTCTTTCCAATTAATTTGAATCTATTTATGCTACACTTTGAATTTAATTGATGGCAGTTTTTATGGATTAGGAAGAAAATTCTAAGCAAACTAAAATAAAATGTTTTTTTTTTGTCAATTGAGGAAAGATTTTTATCGCAATATGGAATTTTTAAGTGACACAAGGAAATTTTTCATGTATAACCTGTAAAAATGTACCCCATTAGACCTTTTCAAAAGTTAGTTTTAATGATAGCAGTATTAATAATCTAAAATGCATAATACATGTATTAGTATATTTTAGGTGACAGCTATAACTTTATATACATAAGGGAAAACAATCTTAAATTTCTCCAATGCCATTCTTTAAAACATTAATGACTTGTTGACAATAAATGAAAAGAGAATTTAATTACCCTTATTCTTTTTTTTTTTTGAAGAAAAAAGAAATCTATTTTTTATGATGAATGCAATCGATTTTTTATCGATCCTTTACAAATATAGCTAGGTAAAATATGGTTTATCAGGACATAATATTTAGGCAAAATCAATGAAAAATCATATCTTAAACTGTCATTTTCAATGAAATTTCGAAGTTTTTTCCATCTCAGAAAAAGGAAATGTATCAATATTACGCAAAATTTACACATTTAACAGGTTTTACATCGACGAATGGAAGCTGATAGAAATAGATCATCTAGGTACATGTAGATAAGGTTTTAAAAGAGGAAATCTTATATTTCTTCTTTATATATTTCTTCACTTTCGGCTTTTTAACTTCCTTTCCACAAAGTCTGCATTTTTAAAGCTTACTGACAAGACTTAAGCATTTCTGACACGCCATTCTTGGATTTCTTATATATTTTAATCTACAGGTATTTTCAGAAGCGAAGTTCTACTAGACAGAAGTTACATAATATTTATTAGTTCATGACCCATGGCTTTTTTTTTTTTAATCTATTTATCTAATTGGTTTTAATCATATAACCATTTTTACTTCAAATCGAATTGCACTCTCAAAATGATTGCCTTAGTTCTTCGATTCCCCGCTTTGTGTAGTTTATAGAATAGTATCAAATATAAGTTTATGTACAGTGTACTTCCCTCAATTGTAAAAAGCAATTTCGGACTGAGGTATGTCTCAAAGCATATAAAAGAATGTAATTGGAATATACAGACGACACATACTGATTTTCGTCTATTTGCTATCTACTTTTAGTAATTATGAGTTAACTCTAATAATAGTCATACCTAGAAAGACATAAAAATAATCATTTAAACCTTGAATATAGTACTGCATTTATTTCCTTCATAACAAATTTAAGAAAAAAAAAAAAAAAAAAAAAAAAAAAAAAAAAAAAAAAAACAAGTTATAGATGACTTAAAATTGTTATTCCAATTTTTATCTTACCACATATATTTTCAATGCTATATAAATTTGATAAACTCATAATTTAATGGTATGTGTATCCACAAATGCATATTTTTACATAAAATAGGATAAAAAATAAAGTGTTCTATAGGGGGCAAATTTTAAATATTTAGATTTTGAAATTACATCAGACTTTTTAACACTTCATGATGGCGAACATTTATTTATTAAATTTAATTTGTCTATAGTAGCTTTTGATATCTTCTATATAAATTTCTTACCTTCTTTACCTTTTGGAAAACTCAAATTTACTTTAGTTTCAGCTTTGGTCTGCCTTACCTTTCTTCGAAACCAGAAGGAAGTGGAATCCCTAGTGTTGAGAAAACAAGCTGGATCATCATCGACCTCAAATCGACATGTGCGACCTATTCATGAAAGATAGATATCATCGCAACATTTCAGGTAAGACCCCTTTATGAAAGATAGATATTTACGACACATTTCAGCCACGACCTATTCAATATTAATGGAACCATAGAAAACTTGTTAGTGATTTTATAAACCTTCACAGTTTAACCCGGGGTATCCTGGCTGACATAAACATCTGTAAGGCTTTGATCTAAAGGGAGAATTCACACATCTGCCTCCATTTCGACAAGGATTGCTGGAACATGCAGTCTTTATTGCTGTACCAGAACCTGCAAAAGGTCCAGTCTTTAGGGATCTATAAACAAGTGTCCAACAATATGACGCCTTATCAATTCACATGGTAGGACAGATTTCAAATATATTTTATGCCTTCAATTCTGATGAGAAAAAAGAAAAATAAATCTGAAGTGATTCCAGTCTTATTTTAATAAATGTATTGAGGAAATTTGAGTCTCTTTTACCAGAGACTGATTTGTAGCAGCTGTGGTTGAACTTGGCTCTTTGGTTTTTGAGATAAAATCGAAAATGTGAAAAGTTTTCAACAACGACAACGTCAAACAACAGAGGCTTTGGCTCATGTGAGCCAAAAATAAGTAAAAAAAATCGAATCTAAACAAACTAAAAAAAGACTCATTCCTAAATACTAGAATTACTGCCTATTGAATAGTCTAAAGATCAAGCTATTCAAACTCTATTCAACGCAAACCTCATGCAAACATTTGTATTAATTGCTAGGTTCGTGGCAAAATTACATTTATTCGTTCCTGTCTCAAAGCACATAATTTCCTCCTCGTTGTTCTGCACATTGTCTAAAGTCTTGAAGAAAAACAGTCTAACGACACGGCCTAAATTACAAACTCCTTCATATTCGTGCTTTGAACAAAATACGTACATAGACCAGGTCGCAGAAATATGTTGTCCATAGCGAGGAATGTGTCTCCAAATATGCCCTCAATGCTTATCTATAAAATGAATTTCCTTTAACATATATACATAATGTATTAAAAGTTAATATTAAAAATCTAGACAATACCACGAGAGAGAGAGAGAGAGAGAGAGAGAGAGAGAGAGAGAGAGAGAGAGAGAGAGAGATGAAAACATACTATCAAAAGATATCAAAGGTATCGTTTGAAAAAAATATAGTTTTGTAATAACATTTCTGTTTCGCAACTCGTAAAAAATATTATAATCCTTACTATATACACTTTATAAAACTCTGCACCATAAAAAATATTTTAACCTTTACTGAAAACTAAAGATTATTCATAAAGCAATTTAATCCTAACTTCTCTTGTGAACAATACAAGAAATAAACATTTAGTATTATCGCCAAGTCTGAATTATAGTACTTGAAGTTGAGAAATTTTTTTTTAGTTTCCACAAGTAGTACATATTGTTTGAAATAAAAAAATAAAACAGGGACCTGGTGAATAGTACCGGTTAAATATTTTTTTCCTATGACGCATTTTCCTCCGAGTTATTCCCCTTGATCAAGATCCTGTTGGTCCAAGTGGTGATTTTTTCTCTTTGAGCAACCAATTTTAAACACACATGACTGATATATATGGGGAAAATTCTTTACAATATTGAAATTTTGAATTGAAGAATAATTAAACAAAAGACAGTAAGAAAAACAGTGTTTCAGCAAAAGCAAGTAAGAAAACAATGTTAAGAAAACGATGCTATCTACACCTAAGTTCCCAGTATTACAAGTTTAACTTGGTTGAATAATGAAGGAATCTTAGCATGTTGACTTACAAAATGGCAACCAACGGGAAATGACTCTTGTTTAATCGCTTTGATGGAAAACTATCTATTGTTGTCTTTATGTAAATAAGTATGTATCCAGGAAATGAACATTACCTTTAAGTCCTGAACGGATTTAATGGATACGCTTGTAGTCTGCCATTCTTGAGTTGTATTTATTTTAATATTTTTCACGTTTGTACTCGGGATGTCTTTCCCCTCAACATAAACGTTCAATTGTGTAGGAAATTGTCCATCTTCAGGATTGAGAGCAGCATAATCGAAATAAAGACATCGGTCATAAGCTAGAAATGTTAATTAATGTCAGTAATTATTGATAGTTGCTGAATAATTAATATTGAAACTATCTAACATTTTTTAAATTGTTTTGTTTCATAAGCTAGTAATTAATAATTCTTGGTAGTTAATGAGACATTAAACTAATAATATAATTATATATAAATATAATACTAAAATACAATAAATTAATATTATTGTAGTAATCTGTCCGGAATTGTCGACTCAAAAACTAATATTTCCTGCGTATGAATATTAACAGTCATTTGAATAAAAGTAGTTCTTTGTTAAAGTTGAACTCGCCAACTTGTCATTATATTAATTTTACAATACTTGTAGTATCATCATTGAAGAAACAAATCTCAAAAGACTGATATTTTACAGGATTTGACTATAAACTGTAATTTACCTGTAAACCTTACAGTCGTTGTAATGATTGCCTTCGATCCAAGGTTAAATGGAACCTTGTCTAGAGATGGCGACATGGTTAGATATTGGAAGCCAGTACCCTGTAAACATTGATCTTTCTTTCCACAAAGTCTCTGGAATATTCATAAAGAGGTTTTTTTTTTTAAAAAATGATTTATGTCATAATGACGTTTATTGTCACACCATTAAACATGTATATATGTTGAAATTACCCAATTTTTAAAAACTTTTCTCATTTATTTATTCATTTACACATGTAATGGACATAGAATCGAGTACCGTATTGAAGCTCCAAAGAATGTCTGATGTCCCAGATGTATCCTGGTCAAATACACACGTCCCAAAATCGTCCTCAAAATCACAGAAATTGTGAGACAATGCTGTTAATAAGATAACTATTCATTATTGTGTGTTTTAGATAAATGCACTTTTATTTCCCTAAAGTGAAAGATGTTCTGTTCCCTCAACACAGTATGGTCGGTTCTTCTTCTTTCGCATGCTCATTATAATGTTACTATTTTCTATGAGTGTTCATTATTTGAATAGCAATTGCATTATTGATCTTATTTAATTTTTAAAAACAATATATCAGAAAAAACCTAATTGCAACTATGGTCGATACATTTTTATTTTGCAGTTAAAATATTGACATGCTAGCAGTATACTACTTACTAAAGCAATGGTGTCTACAAGATAACTATATTGGGTATTATTATGCTTCCTGTCAGTTTGTCTCTATATTATCAATACCCAACTACTTTCGCATAGTGTTCTAATGATTTATATAGCGTAGGCATACTATGCCGAAAAAATGCACGACTGTCTTTTCTAGAGATTGTATTTAGCACCCACGCTGGGGATCGACCTTACGATCTCGAGAACATCAGTCTAACGCGTTACCGATTACGCCACACACACCGCTACTTTACGGAGTGTAATTTCAAGTATATAAACGTAGTTTTTATACATTTGACACAAAACAAGAAATAAATGAATATCATTTCTAAAAGACTGATATTATTGACAAGGATCTTAAAGAAAAATTCTCTAAAAAATAATCGAAATTATTAGTAACCAAAATTGCAACGCAGCATGAACTGGTACTTCGGAGTCATTAAAACGCTATTGATATAACGCCTGATTAAAGAATGTTTAAGAAAATTTTCATTTAGATTTAACGTCTGCAAACAGGTTTGGGATTGAGAATTTAATTAAACTGTTGTATACAAACAACAGTCAGCATAATAATTATAATAGTGTTATTATTTGGATGTACTATGCCGAAATAGTAGTCAGGGTTTGACACATAGTGCACTCGCGTCCGGCTCGTGTACCATGTGTCGAACCCTGACTACTATTTCGGCATAGTACATCCAAATAATAACACTATTATATAATAATTATACGTGTTCACAATTACGATTGTTTAATTTACCTCCAAATTCATCACAGTTAGTTCCTGACACGCCATTGTGACAAGAACACGTGTAAGATCCGTCCCCATTGTCTGAACAAGAGGACCCAGTCTTACAAGGGGAGCTCATACATCCTGTTTAAAACAATCAAGATCTTTTAAGATATATAAAATTAATTACTTTTTTCTATAACTATAATTGGGGAAAATCCTGAGATCAATGAAATAGATATATATACGCATCCAGGAAAAAAAAAATTGTATTTTACTTTTATAAATCACCAAGGTATTATAAAATTTTTCGACTAGTCGAAGAGTGTTAAAAATGACGTAGAATATCCCAACCTGATTGGAAGGCATGTACTCTGATGGTAAAACCTTTTCCTGGAGTGCGGTTCCTCCTACTGTTGAACCTAATCATGAAAGGTGAAGACTCTCCAATGTTCATCTGTGTGTAGGTTTTAGGGGTTGTAGAATTTCCACAAAGCCTTTTATATAAAATAAAAAAAATGTAAACAATAATTAAAAGTTTTTCCAAAGATCTTTTATATTGTGACGGTGAACTTTTTAACCTAAGTTTCAAAAAAAACGAAATGTGTTTGTGAAACAATGATGCCCCCGTATGGCAACTTATAGAGAAGGTTAAACTTTCTCAAATGCAAATCAAATATGTTGGTGTCCAAGTAAGGTCTTATCTCGGGAAATATACCTGTGAAATATGAAAACCCTAGCAGCAACCATTGAATAGATATGGAAAAGGTTAAAGTTTTTCAAAAGTAAGTACAACATCAAGGTCAAGGTCAAATGGTCAAAATTAACGGTGCCTAAGGAAAGGCATTCTCACAAGAAATACATATGTGAAATACGAAAGCCCCTAGCACCAACTGTTCAAAAGTTATGGCCAAGGTTAAAATTTTCCAAAATTAGGTCAAACACCAAGGTTATGGTCAAAGGGTCAAAGTTGTTAGAATCCAAAGAAATGCCTTGTCACAAGGAACACAAAAGCGAAGTACGAAAGCCATAGCACCAACCATTTAAAGCAATGGCCAAGATTAATGTTTTTAAAGATTAGGTCAAACTCCAAGATCAAAGTCAAAAGATCAAATATGATGGTATCCAAGGGAAGGCCTCATCACAGGGATAACAAATTTGAAGTATGAAAGCTCTTTCACCAACCGTTCAAACGTTATGACCAAGGTTAAAGTTTTTCAAAAGTAGGTCAAATTACAAGGTCAAGGTCAAAGGACCAAAGTTGTTTGTAACCAAAGGAATTTCTTCTCACAAGGATTACACATGTGAAGCATGAAAGCCCAAGCATCAATTGTTTAAAAGTTATGGCCAAAGTTAAAGTTCGGTAACATTTTGGAAAACTGGGTCAAACTCCAAGGTCAAGGTGAGAAGGTGAAATATAATGGTATCCAAAGAAAGATCTTGTAAAAAAAAATAATATACATATAAAATATGAAAGCCATAGCTCCAACCAATCAAAAGTTATGGGCAATGTTAAAGTTTTTGCGGATAAAGAGACAAACAGACCGACAGACAGATGGACGGACAGGGCAAAACTAAGTACCCCTTAATCTTCAATACGGGATATAAAAAAGAAAAGAAAAAAAAACATGCATACACAACCAGCTAATAAGCACTTTTTTATTATAAAATTGGTAAATACTTTTAGCTTAATGACTTTAGATAATTTTTTTTTAAATGTTGATATATATATATTGATCTAAGTGTCAAAATACTCTTTTCCTGGATCTCCGATGAGGTAATCACGGATTTCCAGCCAATGGTAGCACTCCTTCCTTGCGCTGTAGGGAAGATCAATGAATGTGATGATGGCTTTGATTAGAGAATTTGATTCAGCCTGAAATATGACAAAAAAGGTCTCATTAAGATAGGGAACAGTTCAATACTATTGGATTACAATATATATTTCATAAGAACATAATAAACCTGTCTTCAATTAACGTTAGGAGTGCGTCAACTAATTTTTTGGCTACCAAAGCCAGTTTTTACACACAAAATCAGAAACAATAAGGATATTGCTTTACCTTTCTTAGGTAACTAATCTTACCTTTAAGGAGATATACTAATCTAACATTAAGTAGCATATTGATAATGACACTGTACTCAACTTTACTACAATACTTAAATTACCTTAAAGGAGCCTAGACACACTTGCATTGTTTACATTTTAAATTCTATTTTTATTCAAAAAATAAAACCAGTTAATTGAATTGATCTTACACGAATATTCTTAGAAATCAGTGACAATGACATTCCTCTTTACATCACGTTAATCATCTGTTTTCGTAAACAGGACACGAGTCTATTATTGTTAAAGGTTTATGTTCTACCGGGTGTATTCAATATGTTAAACTCAGTACAAATCACTGAGCACGGAATGGCAATAATGGTGAATTTGTTTGGTTTCTCACATTTCTACTCAGAATTTTCTGGATTATAGTTTTAATATTTTGCATTAATACACAACAAAATTTCTACTTTTCTTAAGTATTAAGGATAATGTTTACTTCGTGAAAGTGCAAGGATTTGTGTCAATCAAAGGAGTATCGAAATTTGTTGTTTTAATATTTGAAGATAAAAGAAGTTTCCGAACATGTTTTTATTATACTTCGGCGTGAAATGATTTATCAACATATAGGTCATTATATTATATAGAAAATTTGAGAAAATTTAACTTCAAATCTGTGTCTAAGCCCCTTTGTGATTTTGCCTTTAGGAGTGTATAGTTCCTACCTTAAATAAGATATTGATCCTATATTTAATTGAATATTTATGTGACGCTTGCTTAGATATCAACGTTGATTTGATTAAGATATTAACGTTACCCTTTCTAGGATACAAATCGTCCAATAGTGAGGATAATGGCCTTGAATTTCCTGAGATATTCATCTTACTTTAATAGAAGATGGAACTAACTTTCACTAGAATTTTTACCGTACAATTACTAGGATATTGACGTTACCTTTACTAGAATATTGATTTTATTTTCACTAGATATGGATATTACCTTAACTAGGATATTGATTTTACCTTTAATATGATACTGCAATGTAACGTCATCTAAAATGGATACTGACCTTACCTTTACTAGGATATTAATCTTACCTTTATTACAATGTAACGTCATCTAAAAAGGATATTGACCCTACCTTTCCGAGTTAACTGTATGATCACCTTTACTAGGATACTTAGCTTTACTATGATACTAACGTCACCTATACAAGGAACTGATCTTACCTTTACTAGAATATTTATTTAACATTTACTAGGATACTTATTTTATCCTTACTTAAATATTGATTTTACTTTTATTTGAATATTGATCTTATCTTTACAAAGAAATTGACCTTAGCTTTAAGAGTAAACTGACCTCGATTTACTAGGATACTGAGCTTACCTTTATTAACCATGTACACATTTTCCCGGAAGTATATGATGACATTTTAATTTCCTGGGATTCTCCATTCCTTAGGGTTACAGTTTTACCACAGTCTAGATCAGAAGGAAAATATACAAAGCAAAATTTAAAAAAAAATATTGAAGCCAAGAAACCCACATTACCTATCAAAATTTTAAATGGACAATGAAACTTACTTACTTAGGTATAAAGGCACGGACCAATATATACTGAAATGCATAGTATTTGGATATTTCTGCTTTTAGATTGACTGTTTTTTATCTTATACTTTATTCCAAATCGGAAGAATAAGGATTATCATTTTTTGATGCATGAACACTCTGAGGTAAACAAACCACAATGCATATAAATGCACTTTAGCTTTCAAATTAAATGTTTATATCTTCATTTTGTAGAAACCAAATCTGATATTCAGCCTCACAATATTGGCCGACATGATAAAACGTGACGAGATTTCATTTGAAGTGTGTTTAGTTGTTAAATGAGAAGTCATTAATAATTTTGTACATGTTAAATACAGCATAGAGAAATGCAGTTTAACTGGATTGTAGTCATATCTTAAAAAAAAAAAACAACAAATTTTAGTAAAGCTGGGGAAAAGAGTATTTCAATTATTTACTCTTAGTTTACTTGAACTATTATAGCTAATTTCGACAGCAAGACAAATACTATGCTCAGAAGTGTTTGGACAAGCCTTTCATAAGGAAATAGAAAGTGCAATGGTTTACAGGAGAAACAAAAAAGATTTCAAACAATTAATTAAACTAATAACCAATTAATTAGTTAATTAATCAACAACTATTTTAACAACTAGTTAAAAGGCAAGCTAAATATTATATACAGATATACAGACATATGCCCTTGCAATGAATATTTCACCTTCGTCAGTGTCAAGCTCTTCGCAAGTTGTGCCCTTTAACCCTGAAGGGCAATGACAAGAACATGTCCGCTGGTCTACAGGCTGAATTCTGAATCCGTGGTTCTGACAGAATAAAGTGCAGTCTGCTGTTAATAAATATGAAGTATATTAATATGATGGAATCATCGTAAACTGCTTCTAAATTGAAATTAATTGGATGAGCAATTTATTTTTTTTTTTTTTTTTGCTCAGAAGAAATATGATTTTTAACGCATATTCATATCTTTAAAGAATAAATCTTACACAGATCTTCCCAGAATTACACAAGAAACACATTTTTGGAAACAAAATAACATAACTGTACAGAAGAACCAATACTCACATTGCTCACTACTCTACAAGTACATGTACCTATTCTAGAACATTCGAAATGTAGTGTTTTACGCAGGTCAAAGAGTTATTAGCACAATTGTGAATTAATGATGCCACTGTTTTTATCAACACACATATGTGAATTCATATATTTTGAATAATTCAGAATACGTTAAAAACACACAGCGGTCACTTTTATGGAAGTGAAATGTGGCTCACTGATGTATCTCACTAATTCTTTAACAAAAATGCAAATATCACGAATTTAAAGTGAAATGGCATCATTTAAAATTTTTGAAATTTTTTGCGTGCTCTAAATTGGAAAGATATGATTGATCACTTTATTTAGGAAACTTTTTTATTTAACATACATTCGTTAACGATTTTTTACACCCCCACCCGTAAAGAAATGTGCATGTATGTGTGAGAGAGAGAGGGGGGGTTAGAATGACAGGGATGTACGTCTGTATATCCGTTACACTGGGAGGTAAACCATCTCCTATCCACAACTCCCCCTACACATCTACACAGCTGAATAAAATTCAATGATACTTTCAAAGAAGTTTTATTATATAGTGCCATTGTGCAAATCCTATTTTGCATTTCTATCGGACACATATTTGGTGTTCCTCGTAGCAAATCACGGACATTGTCATTCGTTTTATAATAGTTGGGGTATATACATCTCTGCAACTCATTTTATACCGCTGAATACAATCAAAAGAAACTTTCACCGAACCTTTACATTTCATTACACAGTGCATTGTGCACCTCTTATTTTATGTTTTGATTGAACAGGTATTTGGGTGTTACTATTGGAAAAATAAACTTTGCCATAATACTCATATGAGAGCTGTGGTATCATTTTGTTAGATCATTGCTCACAGTACCTGTTTCTTGTGATTCCCAAAATAGCACAGAAAACTAGACCAATATAATCAGCGTTACACGGAGAAAATACCTATGATATATTGAGTTTAGTTAATTGACCTTTTGGACAATTGTATGCTTGATTGATCTCAGCAATGTCGTAAAAGGACAACGTGTATTTGCTGTTAGTAATCAGATATCCCAGGTCTTCGTCAATTATGGACATCGTTGGTTTGAAATTTGCTGATCCAGTCTGTAAGATACAAACAACAGGATAAAAATTACATTTACACCCTGAAATTTTGAAGAAAAAAAAAATAAAAAAGATATGATTGAATGATTTTAACGAAATTTAACATTTCAGCAAAAGTTCTTTTTACACATATCAAGACTTATCGAAACGTAACCATTTATATAGGCAACGTGCCAAATTTTGGTCAACTACATTGCAAGAAGAGGACCTCCTATTTGAAAGTTTCATAAAAAAAAAAAAAAAAGAAAAAAAATGTGACTTTCACAAGTCACAGGCAGAAGCATTTGAAATCTATTTTTGAGCATTTGCAAAATTTTGACAATTTTTAAATACAATAATGTGCATGTGTTTCACTTTTTAATCCTATATTGCAAAATCAATAAAGTATTATACAGTATTTCATATATTAAGGAGGTCTTTAACGTCTATAAGGATAAAAACATTTACATGTAAATGGTATTGCAGAATGGACCTGTAATCATAGCTTTCTGTGTTGTTAGTATGTAGGAAGAGGGCAAACTGGTCAGTGTAGGGAGTATAGATGTTTTCCCAATTGATCTTCACAAAGTATTTCCTTCGATCCCTCTGTTGTTCATGTATCCCACCCAAGGCATGGTACATTTCATGTAAGACGGTGTATTCCTATATAGAATATATTTCAATTTCAGAGAAAAGCTTTAGAAAGGAGAACGATTTGTGTTCACCAAAACGACTTTTTTCTGTCATGGTGATAGTTTACTAACAGGAAATGAACATAAATATTCTCTGTGGGTTCAAATTTAAGAACAATCATTGCTGAATATGAACATTTTAAAATGATGTCTTTTTAATATATCTCCCTCATTACCACTGGAGAAACTTCTTATGAATGAGTTAATTATCACCTCTCGCACATCGGCAAATCTTTTTTAGTAATGAAAATCTGTTTCCTGTTAGTATTAGATATGTGTGCACATATAAAACACTATTTGATATCGGGAAGAAGAACAAATTAACCACTTACGTCCAAACATCTATCATCCAGGGCTAATATTTGTCCAGTGCCTTCTATTCTTCTATTTCCAGGATATGACCAGCAGCTAATTACGTTTTTGAAAAATAAGCAAACACTTTCAATAGTGTATCAAATTAAAAAAGAAAAGTGATGAATTATTTGAATACTGCATTTTCAAATTATTCTAATGAAATGAAAAAAGAACAGCCATCATGCTCAAAAGTCCAAGAAATTTGTATGAAAGATGTGAGTCAACACTCGACCTACGACAGAATGCATTTCCAAACACGGTGATTGTAACAACCATACAATTTGCAAATGTTAACTTTAAACGAGATTGTTAAAAATGTCGTATCAGCTAGTTGTCAGTAATCTGCCTCATTAAAGAAATTTTGTACGAAGAACATGCTCCTGCGTAACGAATTAACTGGGAGACATAAACCCCATGTGCAGGTGATAATGGTATATTGCTACATAAATAAGTAAATAATATTTAGAAAAGTTGACGTCATCAGATTTATCATAAAGTCAAGTTGTTAGTTAGCCATCAGTGTCTTTTTCTAAACAATGCAGTTTGATTTTACAGGAAATAATATTAATTTCTTCTTTGATACCATCTAAATACATTTAATCATTTTCAGTGTTACACATGTATCTATTAGTCATTACTGTATATTAAGAATTTAATTTATGCATAGTCATAAAACAAACAGTCTCCATGATATTGTCTTATTTTTCTCATTGTTTTAACAATTTCGTTTTTTTCTTTGTTAGGGTTTCCTTATTGAAAACTTTAGTTAGCTACTTCTCTTTTAAGATATTCCAAGCATAACATGCAACTAACCAGAGAGAGAGAGAGATAGAGATTTAAACATACTTGAATTGTCTACCAATGATATCGTGTTATTGGACTTACATCATGCACTAATCACCAAAACCAAACAAAATATAATGCATATGTTTCTTCGAACATATTCACTTGCAATTTTCTTCTTTTTTTGTGAAAAAAAAAATTATGTATCTTAGGAGATATTGCAAAGAAACATTAATAACCTTACCAAAACGTGTATGAATTATAACATACATTAATGTAATTTAAACTCTTTGACTGACGCGGAGCCAAAAAAATGTTAATCGTAAAAAGAATACTAAAAAGACAACTAAGCATCAATATACTAAAAAGTGTAACACCTATACCTACCGGTACGTTTACTTTTAGATCAAACCAGAATTCAGGATAGGCTTAGTGAAATATAACCCCATGAAAAACTAAATCTGGGAATAGGACATGAATACAAAAGTGGAGTAAAATGTTGTTCCTTGAGGTTTGGAAAGCCAAGGGTAAAAGAGGATAAACTTTATATTCAAATGAAAAATTAACTATTCGGAAACAGAGTTTGTCAAATGAATGAATGATTCTTGAATAGATATAAATAGATGCATTCAAAATAAAAAACAAGCTATATTACCCTCCAATATTTCCGATGAATTTAATGAAGTATTTATCTGTAGGAGTTTTCATTCTCCATGTCACACATGTTGTTTGTGAAATATTATAGGCAGTTCTCTGTATAAGACTAACGGCTTTATTCAGCCCTGAACCTAAAAAAGTAAGGTTAACAGCTTATCTAACGCATTTTGTTTTGAAAATATTAAAAGAAGTTCTCTGTATAAGTCTAACGGCTTTGTCTTGTCCTGAACCTAAGACAATTAAGTTAAGCCACTTTATATAACACATATTACAGGCTGTTCCTTAAATAAGACTAACGGCTTTATATATATATAGTCCTGAACTTAGAACAGTAAGGTTAACTACTTTATCTAAAATATGTTGCTTGGAAAATATAACAAGCAGTTCCTAATTTAAGACTAACGGCTTTATTCAGTCCTGAACTTAAAACAGTAAAGTTAAGGTTTTACCAAAGGTCAACATGCCCATAAATTTATTTTTACAACAGCTCCAAAACTATGTGAAGTATAAAGTTAAAACTTTTACAGTTAATAAATATATCATTGATTAACAGATAAAAAGTATCACTTAAAAACAAATATTTAAAAATATATATATTTTTTGAGAAAAAACAATTTAAAAAAATTGCATATTAAAAAAATGCACCTGCTTAATTCTGTACTTCTAGTGAAAACCATCATTGAAGAAATAATATATGTTTATCAATGAAGGGCAAGTTGGACGTGAATGGTCACTGAAAAGCTGTTATTGAAAGCATGACATGTGTAAAGACAAGACCCCTATAAAATCCGCCATTTGCAATGTACTCTCGGTTTCAAATCTTAGCATTTGGACAAAATAAACAGGTAAAAACAACTTTCCAGAGGCTATCGAAGTCCAACTTGCCTTTCATTGATAAACATATATTGTTTCTGCAATGATGGCTTTCACTAAAAGTACGGAATAAATTAGGTGTATTTTTTTAAAAAATATATGCATTTTTTAAAAAGATTTTTTTCTAGATAAATACTTTCTTTAAGTATTTGTTATCAAATGATACTTTCTATCTGTTAATCAATGATATATTCATGAACTGTAAAAGTTTGAACTTTATAAACCACATAGTTTTGGAGCTAGTGTATTGTAAAAATAAATTTTTGGACACGTTGACCTTTGGCAAAACCTTGTCTACTTTTATCTAAAATGTTGTTTGGAAAATATAATATCATTTTTCTGTATAAGACTAACGGCTTTATCTAATTCTCAACATAAAACAGCATATATCTCAATACAGAAAGTGTTACTTAGTACAAACAAATATTAAACGATTGAACATATACAACGTTTAAAGAGGGCTCGGCCACTGGTCACGACAAATGACACAGTAGTTTTGAGCTTATGTCTTTTTTTTTATATACACCACATCATATGTTTCAAAGTAAAAGGTTCGAGAAAATGATTTAGTTTCATGTGAAAAAAGTACACAGGACTCACCGAAACTTTTTTCATCGATGATGAATGGTACAACATTGTTTTCCCATAATGTTGTTGAAGAAATTCCAAAATTTCTGATCTGTCGATCTGAAAGCTGTCAAAAATCAAGCAACATAACTTTAATTCTCATGAATGTAATCATCCTATTCAAAGTCCAAATATTCGAGAAACAGTCACTTGCACATTTAATTTCGCAAAAACATAATTAAAGAACCCACATTTCAGTAGACTCATAATTATATCTATAGAAAAAAAAAAAAGAGAGAGAGAGAGAGAAACGCATCAGATTCTTGAGCTTGAAACTCAATCTCTTCTTTATCATTCCAATGTACATGTACATCTTTTCTTGAAATTTATTTGAAATAGTTTTAACATCTTCTGCGATATCTGGCACACAGACAATCGAATTTACAGGAAAAGAAGGTGGGAAATACATTAACACACATTTATTAATAAAAATATAGTAAAAGCAAGTCTAATGTTGGTCAGAGAATTTAGATTTCTAGTGATGAGTAGGAAAATATATGGGTCTTGGTGAAGGATTATGTTAAAAGTACTTATTAAAGTACTGGTATCTCACCTCTTTGATGTCCAGCTTTGGTGGAGGGATATCTAATTCATCGTCATGTTCTTGTTTCTTATTGATGCACAGGTCTCCGGGCTTTAAATAGCACAAGATACTTGTCATTATATATATTTAAGATGAAAGAAAAATGTTATCATTCATCAGATTTAAAGTAAATCAGATGTGGCAATTCCATTCATGATCGACAAAAACAAATTTTAAGCAGAGATGCCAATTTTATGGCTTTATTTGACTATTTTCTTTTTCAGAATAAAGGGTTTAAGGAATCTCAGTGGTTTGTTAAAGGTTGACTTTTTACATAATTTAAGAGTGTTATTTTAATGGCCAACAGGAAATATATTTTTAGATTTGTTATGGAATAGGTCGAATGTAATTTTAATAACTAGACATAATTTAACTCAACATTCTTTACCGTGCATTGATTGAAAAAGTCAATTCATAATTAGGCTGATCAAGCATTACCATGGATTTATGTTTTATGCAGATAAAAATTAACAAAAAATGAGATGTGTTCTGTCTGTTGATATTCTAGGATAGATAAAAAGGTCTATTTATCGCTCAATTTAAACACTGAAACTTTATCTTATTATCTTAAAGCAAAATGAGATCACTCAATTAACTTACTATATTTTATTCTCTAAACCAATGAAATTTTTCGAAAGATGTTTGCATTGCAATGTCCCGCCAGATATTCCTAAATCAAATGATTCAACTTAACAGAATTTAAATTATTGTACATCTAACATATTAAAAAAAAACAAAACAAAACGTAATTGTATTTGCTGTACAACCTTTTTATCTAGGCCATCAATATGAATGGTTTGTCTCTCAGCGTTATTTTCATCTTCTGCACAAATTCTACCCTGCAAGAATAGGGGTAAACTATACGATATAGCATTTAAAATACAATTTGATTAAATATACTTAGGTTTGCAATCTTACGTTAAGGGGATGTCAATAAACGATACGTTGCGCGGACATAGAATTTAAGAAATCAAAATAATCCTTTTATTGACTACATGTAGAGCAGATAACTGCAATCTTTGAAATAAAAAGTACACACATGAGTTTCATATCAAAATTTTAGTATTATCTAAACTGCAGGTTAATCTGCAGTTTAATTCATCCATTTGGTCTAATCTGGTAGGAGACTAGTTATGAGATGTTTCACTGTACAAGTTTGAATTCCCTTAAGTTTGAAAAGTTTACATTTAAAAATTTGTGAAAATGAGATGTAAACATGTAATTTTAAATTCGTAGGAAAAAAACAAACATTTCGATTTCCTGTAGTAAAAACCTCGATTTACTTAAGTGAAAATGTTCATATTCTTTGGTGTCTACATTTAACTATAGTGATCTATAGTTTTACTTTTTCAAAATCACTTTCTCAATTTACTTAATATAGGGTCTATTACTGAAAATAAAAAAAAAAATAATCCGCATCTGCATCTCTCATTGGATGATCCAGCTGTAAATGCCACATTATTAATACAAGGGTCGTCCTCCTCGAATCTGCCTTGGAATTTGAGGATGACGTCGTTGATATATGTTGCAAACAATTGATAAAAACATATCTATTGTTCGCCTTTAAATGTTATTTTTTTCTCAACTTCAAAAAAAAAAAAAAAAAAAAGAAAAAAAAAAAAAAAAGAAAAGAAAAGAAAATATATATATATATATATATATATATATATATATATATATATATATATATATATATATATATATATATATATATATATATATATATATATATATATAACCCTACTTTTCATAACTACACGTACCTTGTATATCTTTCGTATATACAGGCAAACCAACAAACATAGCTTAAAATATAATCTTTCAAACTTAGTGGAGTGTTGTATTTAAAGTAAAATATCTTTAAAAACTATACTATTGTTTCTAGGTAATACGTATTAATAATTCATATACGGATATTTATATATAATTTACGGTTGTGAATGGCATTTAGTTAAATTGGGTATATGGAAGTGTGAACCCTTTAGCTGTACTTAGTATTAAGTTATATTAATTGAAAATTACCTTTTTTTCAAATTTATCTTGCTTATGTTTATCACATGAAACAAACTTTCGTTGATTGAGATATTCTTCGAGAAGATCTAAAAGGCTACGAAGTCGACTGCCTGTAAAATTATAATTACGATGTTGCTGGATAAAAACAATTAAAATAATGTATTTGTGTTATCGTGTCAATTTCGGAACAATGATGCAAAAAAGGATCAATGAAATAAATGTATTGACAAAAAGACAAAGAAAGGGAATGATGAGGAACAAATCTTTTTTCTCTCTCCTTAAATCGAGTTCCCTGTATTTTGTATTTAATGTTTCCCAACTAAAAAAAAAAAAGCTTCAATGTCTGGATAAAGTTACGAAAGACAAAATCAAGGAACCCTTTTCACAAATTTTGGTCTGAACGTCAAGAACAATTTCGGTAACTATTACGGTAACTATTAGACATATCCTATATAATTAACTGAAAAATATGAATGGAAAAAGGAACAAATGATTAAAAGAAAGAAGGATGGAAAGAAGAAAGGACTGAAACTAGAGAAAGTTAAAAAAAGGTAAAGGAGATAAAAAAAAAATGATACCACCGAAATATATGTTCATAAAATACATGTTATATTACCTTCTGATGAATCTTGCATTACAGGTTTGGATTCTGCAACACTAAGAACGAGTAGCAAGAAAATTGTAATGAAACAATTACAGTTTTCCATTTTCAAACAAGTGAAATACTTTGAAGGATTTTATATACGGCTTTTATTGTTGCGTAGGTGTTATCTGATTTAAATTGCATAATTTGGAAATAAGAAAAAGTGAAATGAGTTTTAAATAATGGTCAATGGATATGACAGCTAGATTGATAAACATTTTTTGAGATCATTGGATAGTTCTTTGATATTTAAGTCGTTAGACATCAAATTTAAAGTTACGTAACATTAATTGATACATATCAGGATTTTAAATAGCGACCTAAAATGCTAAACTAAGAAGAATTAAAAAACCTCCTCTGATGATAATTTCTCCCTCCTCTTAGATGAATATAACTTGAAAGATATCAACTTCGAGTAATGAATGTTGTAACTTCCAAAATTTTTAATCTTTTTTGAACATTTTCAAATTTTGTAATTTTTTTTTTTTTGAGTTAACTATTTTTATTTTTACATGCATTCTTGTAACATTTCTTATATGTATCGGTAGGTTATTTTCAAATGAACCAACACTCCTATCAAATCATTTTTAAAGATAAAAGTATAAGCTATAAACTCTTATTCCTGAGTAACAAAAGGTTTTACAGAACATTCTATTCAAGATGAGCTAAATATATGTATTCATAGATCATAAATATGGACGTTCTATAATTATCTTCTATCTGATCATTCATTTAGGGAAAAACAGGTAAAACATAAATCCAAATCATGAGGGATGTGTAGTACGAGTGGCGTAGGCCATAGTAGATTCATCCTAATGGGAATTTATAAATAAAAACATTAGAATATTCCGTAAATCAAAATTGGTCTGATTGAGGGATAGAGATAATTGCAGTGTAGACTGTTTCATTAGTCATCTTAGTTTCAAACAACTTTATAAATCGTAAAGTGACTGTACTTTACATTGAACGTTTATAGGACGCAACTTACATTAACATATAATAAAAATGTCGATATTTCGATCACAAGGCATCAATTTCTTGCCGAAAAGCAGTGTCAACGCTGACCATTAATTTGGCTTCGCTGCTTTAAGAACATTTGCGTTGCATAACTATGACTATGTTGCATTTTATTTTCAGTCTGTAATTTTACTTTGACACACTTAAAATTTAAACATAACTCTGGTAATATAATCTGCATACAACAGAGAAATGGAATTAATGTACACACAAATATCTGAAACTATATATTCTAAATTCACATCCATTATGTTACTTTATACAGCCTATTACAAACACGTGTACAAGTTTAAGAGAAAGCACTGGCGGATTTGGAGGGAGGCCCGGGGGGGGGGGGAGCTTTTGTATCCAAAAAAACCACATAAGATTAAATAAATCATATTTTTGGTGTGGTCCCTGCCACACGCCCATCCCCGACCCCGAACTGCCCCTCCCCATTTCAAGAATTTTTATTTTCATTATGTACAAACAGCACTGTTAGAAAGTTTTGTATGTTTTGAAAGATCAACTTTGCTTTTATTATTCGTCAATATATATATATATATATATATATATATATATATATATATATATATATATATATATATATATATATATATATATATATATATATAACCATGTCCAAATCACTGGCGCTAATATTTTAGTCTATTAGAGTTATCTCTCATAGATTGCTTGAACTGCACCAACAAATATATGTCACTTGATGTACATTAGTTTCTTAACAGGTCATGCAAATCTTATTATCTTGATATGAATGAGGTATTCATTTCAATACTAAAAATTTCCATTTCAATATCAATGCCGGAAACGTGGTAATAAATGCAGGATATGAGAATTATAAACTGAGGGAAAAGAAAAGTAATAAATTTCAAAACTGAAATTCGCAATTGAAATTATACCGCTACGGAATCGATCGTCAATTATCTTTTCTCTCTGAAGATATTTTTTTTTGGCCTGTTGAAAAGTTTCCTGACCTTTTAGTTCTGCACATCTTTCTTGAAGAAATGGGATCCACTGGAATTATGACCACTTTAAAAGTCAGCCCATTACAGACGTGGTTTTGGTTACAAGAAGATTTAAAAGGCTTTATAATAATGAGCAGACACATAAATGATGGTGATAATGTGGTAAACAATTTATTTTTTTTAAGAATTAAGATTGACTTTAAAAAAATAAAGTAAACGCCGTGGACTCAAATTCTTACTTAACAAAATTAACCATACAGAAATTTGCTGATTGGTCTCATTAGAATTTTTCCGTAGGCATCTATGCTTCCAAGTCAAGGATGATGTTTTATTATATAAAACGTACACTAAAATTGATTTTCCTAAATGCATTGAATGGTTATTTTATCTGATTTCCTTGAATGAAGTCAAGGGAAATTTTTGCTAGATAACTAATTTTTTATTCAATAAATATAATGTATTAGTCCTATAATGCAATCAAGAGTGAAATAAAAGCGATATTACAAAGTAGAAAAAAAAAATCTCAAACATTTCTATTTCTGTAGTAAACAATCTTTGACATTGTTAATATTCATTTCTTTTATCTGTTTTTAACACATACGGCATTGTTTTAGTACCTTTCCGGTAGAGAGCTGGGATAAGGTAAAAATATTTTATTCATTTCAAAACAAATTTTCATTTTCAATATGTACAAACAGCTCAGTTAGAAAGTTTTGTATGATTTGAAAGATCAACTTTGCTTTTGTTACATGGATATGTTTGTCAAAAAAATCAGTTCATGTCCAAATCACTGGCGTAATTATAGTCTATTAGAGATATCTCTAATAGATTGCTTGCACTATATATCAGTAACTGCACCAACTAATACGTGAAGCTTGATGTACATTAGTTTCTTTACAGGTCATGCAAAACTTATCTTAATATGAACGAGTTATTTAAAAAGATTTTAATACTAAAGTTACCATTTCTACGGAAGCCCATTTAGGACCTATCAAAAATATTTTTTGAATTGGATATAACGAATTGTCGAATTTGTTAAAACGAATTAATTCGATATAACTATTTCTTTCAATTCGGTATAACAAATTCAATCTGTTATAACAGATTTGTTGAATTCGTTATATCTAATTCAAAATTTTATTATAACGAATAAAATTTGTTATAACGAATTCTAAAACTTGTTATAACAAATTAAATTCGTAAAAACGGATTCGACAAATCGTTATTTCGAATTCATATATATTTTTATATAGGATCCTATTGTTCAATTTGATAAAACGAATTTAATTCGTTATAACAAATTTTAGAATTTGTATAAACAAATTTTACAATTTGTTTAAACAAATTTTACATTTTGTTTAAACAAATTTAATTTGTTATAACAAATTCTTGAATTCTTTCAACCGAATAAAAAAAAAATAATTTGTCGTAACATTTTTTTTTTTGAATTTGCTATAACGAATTCAATCAATTTGTTTTAAGAGATTAAATTCGTTATAACGAATTCAAAGAAATTGTTATAACGAATCAAATTCGTTGTAACAAATTCAACGATTCGTTATATCGAATTCAAAAACATTTTTGATAGGTCCTAAATGTGATTCCGTACATTTCAAATATCATTGGAGTAAAAGTTGTTATAATGTAATGCCGTATATGAGAATTATAAATTGAAGGAAAATAAAAGTAATAAATTTCAAAACTGAAATTCGCATTTGAAATTATACCGCTACGGAATCGATCATCATCTTTTCCCTCTGGGGATAATTTTTTTTTCTGTTGAAAAAAGTGTCCTGACCTTTAAATTCTGCACTTCCTACGTGAGGAAACGGGGTCCCTTGGAATTATGACCATGATTTTTAAAGTCAGCCCCATTAAAGATGTGGTTTTGGCTTAAAAGGCTTTATGATAATGAGTAGTAACATAAATGATGGTGACAATATGGTAAACAATTTATTTTTTTTTTTTCAAATTAAGATTGACTCTAAAAAATAAAGTAAAAACCTATTAAATTTTTTTCCCCGTAGACATCTATGCTTCCAGGTCAATGATAATGGTTTTTAATCTAAAACTTACATTTAACATCAAAATTGATTTTCTATAATGCAGTTAATAGTTATTTTATCTGATTTCCTTGAATGAAGTCAAGGGAAATTTTTGCTACATTTTAAATATGTTGCCAAACTAGACTTTACAGTCAACTGAACCATATTAAGATAAAGAAACTGTGCTGAAACCGGTTATGTACAGCATTTTAATTAGATTAAAAAAAAAACATGGTGAAGGAGAAATTTAAAAAAAGAAAATTGTTACTTCCCGAAAAAAATAATATGGTGAACTTTTGATGATTATAGTAATAACTTGTTGAAAAAAGTGTCATGACCTTTAAATTCCGCACATCCTACGTGAAGAAAGGGGATCCCTTTGAATTATGACCACTTTAAAAGTCAGCCAGTTAATGATGTGGTTTTGACTACAAGGAGATAAATTTAAAGGTTTTAAATAACAAGTAGTCACATAAGTGATGATTAAAATGTAGTAAACAATTAAAAAAAAACAAACAAACAAATAAATAGATAAATAAATAATTTAAATTAAGATTGACTTTAAAAAATAGAGTCAAACGCTCTTGGACCAAAATTCTTACTTAACAAAATTAGTCGTACAGAGATTCGCTGATTGGTCTTATTAGATTTTTTTTCCATTGGTATCTATGCTTCTAGGTCAAGGATGATGTTCTATAATCTAAATACACATGTCACATCAAAATTGTTTTTCTATACTAAGGTGACCTGTAATTTTATCTGATTTCCATCAATAACGTAAAAGGAAATTGTTGTAAGAATTTTTTTTTTTCAGTGAATATAATTGCGAACATAAATGTATTAATCCGATAGTGCATCAAGGGTGAAATAAAAGCGACATTACAAACTCGAGAAAAAAATCTCAAACATTTCTATTTCTGCGATAAAGAATCTTTGTCCTCTTTATTGCTGGTAATGTTTTATCAACTCAAGTGTTACAACATATGATTTTTCTACTTTTCAGTGAATGCTTTATATCTTACTTCTTTGATATATGTTGCAAACAATTAATAAAAATATATCTATTGTTCGCCTTAAAATGTTTTTTTTCTTCTCAACTTCAAAAAAAAAAAAAAAAAAAAAAAAAAAAAAAAAAAAAGATAAATAGATAAATAAAAACCCTACGTTTCATAACTACTCGTACCTGGTATATCTTTCGTATATACAGGCAAACCAACAAACATAACTAAAAATATAATCTTTCAAACTTAAGGGAGTGTTGTATCAAAAGTAAAATATCTTTAAAAACTATACTATTGGTTTTAGGTAATACGTATTAATACGTATTAAAAATTCATATACGGATATTTATATATAATTTACGTTTAGTTAAATTGGGTATATAAAAGTGTGAACCCTTTAACTTTACTTAGTATTAAGTTATATTAATTGAAAATTACCTTTTCTTCAAATTTATTTGGCTGAGGTTGATCAGGTGAAACAAACTTTCGTTGATTGAGATATTCCTCTAGAAGATCTAAAAGGCTACGAGGTCGACTGCCTGTAAAATTATAATTGACGATGTTGCTGGATAAAAACAAATTAATGTATCTTTGTTATCTTGTCAATTTCGTAACAATGATGCAAAAAAGGATCAATGAAATAAATGTTAATAATGTATAAGACAAAGAAAGGGAATGATGATGAACAAATCTTTTTTCTCTCTCCTTAAATCGAGTTCCCTGTATTTTGTATTTAATGTTTCCCAACTAAAAAAAAAAAAAAGCTTCAATGTCTGGATAAAGTTACGAAAAACAAAATAAAGGAATCCTTTTTACAGATTTTTTTTCTGAACGTCAAGAACAATTTCAAGATGATAAATTTATCTCTAAATGGAATGAGAACCTAAGTACAATTAATATATCACAGAAGTTAGTTTGTAATACCATTTGTAACAAAAACTTACATAAAGAACAATTGTCTTCTGAACCCCTTGGAAACCTTGGACAGAGATCAACATTCTGTAATCTTAGTGTTCTTTTACATGGCATTGTCAATTATACAAAAGTACTCTTTTCTACTACAAATCTACTAAGATCTATAAAATGAGCGATAAAAATATAATAAAAATAAAAAAATTAAATCAGGACATTCTTAAAGTTTGGGACCAATTCGACTGGTTTTCGATATTCTGCAGCGAAACTGATTTCTTCTTGTTGCGCCAATACTGTTCTCAAAGAATTACGGTAACTATTAGACATATCCTATATAAATAAGTGAAAAATATGGATGGAAAAATAAACAAATAATTAAAAAAAGGAAGGATGGAAAGAAGAAAGGACTGAAACTAGAGAAAGAAAAAAGGTAATGGAAAGAAAAAAATCATAGCACCGAAATATATGTTCATAAAATACATGTAACTTTACCTTTTGGTGAATCTTGCTTTACAGGTTTGGATTCTGTAACACTAAGGACGAGTAGCAAGAGAATTGCTATACAATGAAAGTTTTCCATTTTCAAACAAGTGAAATAAATTTAAGGATTTTATATACGGTTATTATTGTTGCGCAGGTGAAATCTAATTTAAATTGCATAATTTGGAAACAAGAAGTGAAATGAGTTTTAAATAATGGTCAATGGATATGACAGCTAGATTGATAAACATCATTTTTGGAGACCATTAGTTACATGTAGCTGTTTGATATTTAATTCGTTTGAAAACAAATTTAAAGTTACGTAACATTAATTGATACATATCAGGATATAACATGGCGACCTTTCAAAATTCTAAACTATAAAGAATTAAAAAACTGCCTCTGATGAAAATGTCTCCATCCATCTTAGATGAATATATCTTGAAAGATACCAACTTTGAGTAATCTATGCTGTTACTTCCGAAATTTTTAATCTTTTTTTTTGAACATTTTCAAATGTTGTTGAAAATTTTTCAAGTTAATAATTTTTTTCTGCACTCATTCTTGTTACCTTTGTTAAATATATATATAGAGGGAAGCCCAGGGGGCCTTTTGTGTCCACAAATACACATAAGATTAAATAAATCAATTTTTTGGTGTGGTCCCTGCCCCCACCCCATGACCCCGAACTGTCTCCCCCCCCCCCCCCTTTTTAAAGAATTTATATTTTCATTATATACAAACAGCACTATTAGAAAGCGTTTTGTATGATTTGAAAAATCAACTTTGCTTTTATCATTTGTCCAAAAAATTAATTCATGTCCAAATCACTGGCGCTATTTTAATCCATTATAGTTATCTCTCATAGATTGCTTGAACTGCACCAACATATACATGACACTTGATGTACATTAGTTTCTTTACAGGTCATGCAGAGCTTATTATCTTGATATGAATGAGTTATTTATTTTTTTTTTTAAATTAATACTAAAAATTTCCATTTCAATATCAATGCCGGAAAAGTGGTAACAAATGCCGGATATGAGAATTATCAATTGAAGGGAAAGAAAAGTAATAAATTTCAGAACTGAAATTCGCATTTGATATTATACCGCTACGGAATCGATTATTAATTATCTTTTCCCTCCAGGGATAATTTTTTTCCTGTTGAAAAGTGTCTTGACCTTTAAATTCTGCACATCCTTCTTAAAGAAATGGGATCTGTTGGAATTATGACCACTTTAAAAGTCAGTCAATTAAAGACGTGTTTGTGGATACCAGGAGATTTAAAACGCTTTATAATAATGAGTAGTAACATAAATGATGGTGATAATGTGGTAAACAATTTATTATTTTTTTTAATTAAGATTGACTTTAAAAAATAAAGTAAAACGCCTGTTAGAATTTTTTTTTTCCGTAGGCATCTATGCTTCCAGGTCAAGGATTATGTTTTATAATCTAAAAATTACATTTAACATCAAAATTGATTTTCAATAACGCAGTGAATGGTTATTTTATCTGATTTCCTCGAATAAAGTCCAGAGAAATTTTTGCTAGATAACTAATTTTTTATTCAGTAAATATAATGTATTTGTCCGATAATGCAATCAAGAGTGAAATAAAAGCGACATTACTAAGTAGAAAAAAATCTCAAATATTTCTATTTCTGCGATAAACAATCTTTGTTATCTTTGTTGCTGATAATTTTTTATCTACTCACGTGTTAAAACATACGATTTCTCTACTTTCCGTTGAATTCTTTTTATCTGATTTCGTTGAATTAATAAAGAACTCCTCTTTCAGTTAATATAATACCTGTATTTTGCTTCAAAAAGTTTTGATCTTTTTTTCTATATTAGTTCTATTCACAGTTTATGGAAAAAGAGTGAACAGTACATTAGCATTTTAAATAAAAATGTTGAAAATGGTACTTTCTTTTAGGAACTAATCCAATCTTTTGACTAACACTGTAAGCTACGATATATTGTTTATAATTTAATTAACAGAGAATGTGTCGCACGGATTCATCTTTTTAAATTGATAAATATCATGATAATAACTTGAACAGATGCCATCTTTAGTAGAAATTAAATCTTTATGCTTGTAACTAACTTGGATAAAATAGTTGACATATCTGATATCCATTAGTAAAATTCACGCATGCCTCAATATAAAAAAGAATATGGAATTTTTTTAAAATGCTGCCAAGCTAGACTTTACAGCCAACTGAATCATATAAAAATAAAGAAACTGTACTGACACTTCGGTTATGTACAGCATTGAAATTTAAAAAAAAATTAGAGGAGACAAAAATTAAAAAAAAAAAAAAAAATGGATTAACTATTGTGATGTCTTTGACACAAAAATGATAACTTTAAAGACTTTAATTGACTAAAAGGATAACTGTGAAATCGTTGATTCACTTAAGTTCTCGCTCAAATCTTCATTTTTAAAAGTAAAGTTCGCGTTTTCGTGAATGTTGCAGGATAACCTCCGAGGTCAAGAAATGATGGTTCAAACAACATTTCTGAACACAGACATTTGTCGGGTGTTTTACGCAATACATAACATGTAGATTGCAGAAGATGAAACACAAATATAGTTTAAATATGTATTATACATTCTAACGTCACATTTTTAATTCTCCTTTACAAGGTTTATATGTGTTTCTGATTCGGTAATCCTTTGATGACGTTCGTGATTTATAGGAGAATAATGGCCGTGGCATTTCTTTGACCTCGGCAATAACTGTAATAGAATAAGTTATAACGCCATAAATCTGGTTTGAAGTACACAATGGTAGTCGATTTCCTACAGTGATAACTTTGACACTTTCATTTTCTGTAGTGATCACTTTGTCACTAAAGTGATAATTACAACACTATTCTGATCGCTATGACATTATGATGATAATCCAACTGAAGGACGTGGAGACCGGTCTTTGGTGAGACCGTATAAACCGAGGTCTCTTGTTGCAGTAGGTGCTGGCACGAAAAAAATTCCTCACTGTTCAAATGTATAAAATTGCAGCCCTTCCCGGCAGGTTGAGGCGTCTCAATATGAGTGAAAAATTCTCAAGGGGACGTTGGGGAAAAAAAAAAAAAAAAAAAAAAAAAAAATTAGGTGACAACGTTGGATAATTTGATTTGCGGTAATGATAACTTTGAAAGTCTGATTTATCATATTCAACATTATATTTTATTTTGCAAAAGTGTATGTGTGGAGGTGAGGGGGAGGGGGGAGGGGGGGTTGGCAACTGGATATAAGAAAGTAAATTATCAATCACAAATTAAAAAAAAAATTGCAAAATTCTTCAAATTTTTTGTTTGCCACCTTTTTTTTTAGTGCAATATCTTTATTTATAAAATATGCATTTAATTGGTTCACAAAAGCATGTTAGGTTTTAAAAGTTCTTTGAGCTGTACTAAAAATAGTAATATATTGCAAAATAAATTGATCATTTTTTATGAATTACATTGAAAGCAAAAATAGATTACGGATACAGTAGAGGTATTTACACGTCTATAGAGGATGTGTCCCAACTTTTATATGTTGAATAGCTTAAACAGATAACATTAATTGTAAAATTTACAGCGAAACCTGTCTAATTCGACATGCACCGGGAGACAAATTTTGTGTCGGAGTAGAGAGGATGTCGAAACTACACAGTGTAAAGAACCTGGAGAAATAGTAAAATGGGAATGAAAGTAAAAGGTCGGAATTCACATTTACACGGACTGCACAGGTGTCGGATTAGACAGTTTTCACAGTACATCTTCAGGCGTGGTAACATTTTTGAACACAACAGATCATATAACCTGTGTTATGATTGAATTTTTACAATCCAATTGGCTAACCAAAATTTTAAAATAATTCTATTCTTTTTTGGGATAAAGTTATAGTCAAATCTATTCCTTATTAATACTCAAACGAAACTTTTGTAATGCTCAATTTATATTGACAATATTTTATTACCTTGACAATTTTGTGTTACAAATGCTCTAATAAATTTCTTTTACTCGCCTGATTTCATTCAACTTCAAAGAATTATTGATTTTGATAAATAACTTTATACATTTTTTTCTTCTTAATCAGAATTGTTGCCCTGCTGGATATGTATTATTAAAAGGTATTGCCTATCTTTATCAAAAGAATATAAATATACGACGTAAAATTTGCAAACGTATTCGTAGTAAACATTTTATTGTAATTGCAGTCGGCATCTTGAACATTTTTTTAAAGTTCAATTAAACAAATGCAAAATCAAATAAATGAAAATGAAACTCATTCTAGTATTTTTCATACTGTCTTTCATTTTCTAGAGTAATTTTGCGGCCGTTGAAAAGTGTTATCAGCATAAAAATCAGCACATGAAATCAGCACAAAAAAAGTTAAATTGATGCAAAGCATCAAATCGGCCGCAAAAATATATTTCATTTTGAAGAATTTTCACAAGAAAGAGTCCAAAGAAAAATCGAACTAGAAAAAAATATATGATACATTTTTACACTTGCTTTACTTTTCTGTGCATTTTTTACACTTTAATTTTCAATGATCAATTGTTAAATATTTATACAAAGAAATAAAGTTATTAATATGAAAATCGGACTGCAATAAAGGATGTGTTATCATCAAATTATTTGATTCAAGGACAAATGCAACAAATATCTAAAGAATTGATTATGAGTGCCTGAATGCTGAGAAAAAGGACACAAGTTTCACGTGCTGATACCCCGGATTATTGTCACTTTATAATGCAGATCAGTGTTGTGAAACATATGTATGTGAAGCGCAGAAAAAAATTTAATTGTGTCACTTGCAGCTGCAGTGTAAATTCAAAACAGAAATCAGTTCTTATTCTAATTTATTAATTATTTTAGGCACTGTAATTCATATCCGGAATCCCAATACGTTTTTTTTTTATATCTTACACACGCTCATGTTAAGGAGCAGTTCATAAAAAACTTTTTGTAAAATCATTAAATTAATAAATATCTGACGAGAAATAAAAAAAAAAAATGAAACATAACAATTATTTACACTTGGTTTTAAACAAATTTTTAAGACTTTTATTCGTAACTTTTATATTTGTTATCAATA